ACCATCACGCCGCCGTCATCCCTTTTTGATTGTAACAAATTACATCTGGCCACGTTAAATGAATTGTTTGTGTTTGTGCGAATTTTTTAATTATTAATTGATTTAACACCATAAATTGTTATAATAAATGGTTTGTGTTGTGAACTGTTACAGATAACATTAATTGAAAAAAAAATAGAAATTAAAAAAATGTTTGAATTCCTAAAATGTTTTAATAATTTACAAAATAAATTGCTTTGAGTTATGGTCAATGATTTTCAGATACATATTTTAAAAATTAATTAAATTTTTTTTTTTCAAAAGGAAAATTATTGGAAAAGTACAGAGTTTATGATTAATGGTACTAAAACAAATACACGCGTCTTGAAGACCCATGAAAAAATATTTGTTAAAAAATACACACCTTTGGAGACCCTTAAAAAATATTTTTTAAAAAATACACGCTTTTGGAGACCCCTTAAAAATATTTTTAAAAAATCCACGACTTAAAAATTATTTCGGTCGAAGCACCAAAAATTCATCAGTCCGCTTTAGGACTCTTTTTGCTGTAGGCATCCTTCGCTAATGACTCTTTTTCTAATTGGAAAAATTTCCTCAGTTTGCTCAAGATTCTCAGGACTTTTTTTCCTATAGGAAAAAATTCCTCTGTACCACTGAGGACTATTTTTCCTATAGGAAAAAATTCCTCTGTACCACTGAAGACTCTTTTTCCTATAGGAAAAAATTCCTCTGTACCAATGAAGACTCTTTCTCCTGTAGGAAAAAAATCCTCAGTACCACTGAGGACTCTTTTTCCTATAGGAAAAATTCCTCGAAAAAAAATCCTCGTTAAGACTGAGGACTCTTTTTCCTATAGGAAAAAAATTCCTCAGTAACACAGAGGACTCTTTTTCCTATAGGAAAAAAATTCCTCAGTAACACCGAGGACTCTTTTTCCTATAGGAGAAAATTCCTCAGTAACACTGAGGACTCTTTTTCCTATAGAAAAAATTCCTCAGTACCACTGAGAACCCTTTTTCCTATAGTAAAAAATTCCTCAGTACCACTGAGGACCCTTTTTCCTATAGGAAAAAATTCCTCTGGCCACTAAGGTCTATTTTACCTATAGGAAAAAAAACCTCCGAACACTGCGGACTATTTTTCCTATTGGAAAAAATTCCTCAGTTCACTGAGGATGCTTTTTCCTATCGGAAAAAATTCCTCAGTACCACTGAGGACTCTTTTTCTTATAGGAAAAAATTCCTCTGTACCACTGAGGATAGGAAAAAATTCCTCAGTACCACTGAGGACTCTTTTTCCTATATGAAAAAATTCCTCAGTACAACTGAGGACTCTTTTTCCTATAGGAAAAAATTCCTCAGTACCACTGAGGACTCTTTTTCCTATAGGAAAAAATTCCTCAGTACCACTGAGGACTCTTTTTTTCCTATATGAAAAAATTCCTCAGTACCACTGAGGACTCTTTTTCCTATAGGAAAAAATTCCTCAGTAACTTTGAGGACTCTTTTTCCTATAGGAAAAAATCCTCAGTAAGATTGAGGACTCTTTTTCCTATTGTACCACTGAGGACTCTTTTTCCTATAGGAAAAAATTCCTCAGTACCAATGAGGACTCTTTTTCCAATAGGAAAAAATCTCAATACGGTGAGGACTCTTTTTCCAATAGGAAAAAAATTCCTCAGTAACACTGAGGACTCTTTTTCCCATAGGAAAAAATTACTCAGTAACACTGAGGACTCTTTTTCCTATAGGAAAAAATTCCGCAGTAACACTGAGGACTATTTTTCCTATAGGAAAAAATTCCGCAGTAACACTGAGGACTCTTTTTCCTATGGGAAAAAATTCCTCAGTACCACTGAGGACTCTTTTTCCTATGGGAAAAAATTCCTCAGTACCACTGAGGACTCTTTTTCCTATGGGAAAAAAAATCCTCAGTACCACTGAGGACTCTTTTTCCAATAGGAAAAAAATTCCTCAGTACCACTGAGGACTCTTTTTCCTATAGGAAAAAAATTCCTCAGTACCACTGAGGACTCCTTTTCCTACAGGAAAAAATTCCTCAGTACCACTGAGGACTCTTTTTTCCTATAGGAAAAAATTCCTCAGTATCCTACAGACTCCTTTTATTATTCTTCAGTTTTCTGAGTACTCTTTTTCCTATAGGAAAATATTCCTCGGTACCACTGAGGACTCTTTTTCGTATTGGAAAAAAATCCTCAGTCTATTGAGGACGCTTTTTCTTATAGGAAAAATCCTCAGTTAACTGAGGACGTTTTTTCCTATATGTTCTTCTTCCTCAATAGGAAAAAATCTGGATTGGCTTTCTTAAGCCCTCTTCTCTCCTACCTCTTATTTGATTAATCGAAGTTGTACTGTATCGCATTAAATTACTTCTATTTGCCTTCTCAATTAAAGGAACAATGGAAATAAAATTTTTGCTGCCTTTGTTTTCAATTCTGTTCCAGCACAGCTGTTCATTTATTTGATTTCGTGGGGGTCAATATCAACTGACTCAACACTTTTTACATTGTTCTCCACGAGTCTTCATCATTCGATCATAATTCGTGTGTGTGTGTGCCTCTCACTCACACCCATTAAAGTGAGCACTCATTTAGACCTTTTTCTTAATGGATTGTGTGGAGGCTAAGTCCAAGACACTGTGACGGAATATTTGATTAAAAATTTCAGCCATTAAATTTTTTGGAGGTACCCAGCCAAAACATTATGTTCATGATGATGATGTGTGTGTTCACGTCAATTTGTCATGGGTTCGTGGTGTATTGTTGGGAAGACACTACATGATCTTTCGGATGATTCATCTAATTTGTATTGATTTGTTGGTGTGCGATCAATCGATTGATGGTCATTTTGTTGGCCATAGAAACGGGAAGACACACAGAGATTGGTCGACAGACAGGCTGATGAGGCTGCTGCCATGCACTTAGATGGTGGAATGGTGAGGAATTGTGATGTGTGTGGGGGAGGAGGAGAGGAAAAAACACATCTCAGCTATTTCAAGTATCTGTCATTATGTTGAAAATGTGTGAATTATATCATTTCGATATGAGCCACATTAGTATTCAGATAATTGCCACACATAAATTTTCCATTTGTGCATCGACGTGCCTAACCCCTCACCTTTCTCATCTTCTCTCTTTCTATTCCTTGTATTTTTTCTTTATCGGTATTTTTGTTCTCCATTTCAAAGATAGAATGATGTGTGCTTTCTCCGCACACCCTTTGATTAGCAGGAAGTTTCTTTGGAATTATTACGAAATATTTTTTTTTTTTTTTTTTTTTTTTTGAAACTATTTCATAGGAATTTCGAAAAATTAGGTGTGATTTCTCAAGAATTTAGAGGGGAATTAAATATTTCAAAATTCTTTAAAAGAGGGAAGGGTTCCTCAGTTGTACTAATGATATTTTGTATTATAAGAAAAAGTGTCAACCGCTATTTTTTCCTATAGGAGGATTTTTTTCCTCAGGATGACTGAACATTTTTTTCTTATAGGAAAAAGAGCCCTCAGCGTACTGAGGACTTTTTTCCTATAGAAAAAAGTGTCCTCAGTGGTAATGAGAATTTTTTTCCTATAAAAAAAGAGTCCTCAAGGGTACTGAGAATTTTTTTCCTATAGGAAAGAGTCCTCAAGGGTACTGAGGAATTTTTTCCTATAGGAAAAAGAGTCCTCAGCGAACTGAGGAATTTTTTCCTATAGGAAAAAGAGTCCCCAAAGTACAGAGGAATTTTTTCCTATAGCAAAAACAGTCCTCAGTGGTAATGAGGAATTTTTTCCTATAGGAAAAAGAGTCCCCGGAAGGCTGGAATTTTTTTCCAATAGGAAAAAGAGTCCTCGGCGTACTGAGGATTTTTTCCTATAGGAAAAATAGTCCTCAATGAATTAAGGATTTTTTTCCTATAGGAAAAAGAGTCCTCAGTGGTATTGAGGAATTTTTTTCCCATAGGAAAAAGAGTCCTCAGCGTACTGAGGAATTTTTTTCCTATAGGAAAAAGTGTTTCCGGCTACCTAAGGATTTTTACCAATAAGAAAAATAGTCTTCCGCGTAGTGAGGAATGTTTTCCAATAGGAAAAAACAGTCCCCAGCGGGCTGAAGAATTTTTTCTTATAGGAAAAAAGAGTCCCAAGAGGGCTGATAAATTTTTCTTAAAGGAAAAAGAGTCCCCAGCGTGCTAAGGAATTTTTTCCAATAGAAAAAAAGAGCCCTCGGTGGTACTGAGAAATTTTTTTCTTATAGGAAAATGAGTCCTCAGTGGTACTGATGATTTTTTTCTTATAGGAAAAAGAATCCTCAGCGTACTGAGGATTTTTTCCCAAAAAAAAAAAGGAGTCCCCTATTGACGGAAGACTGCTATCCAATATTTCTGACTTATCTTTTGCCTTGCCTTCATCAAAAATTGTATTGATTTTGAATGACTATTTTATTGTTGTGGTTTTCGAATTGATTCGACTTTTATTTTACAATTTATTGGGTCATCTTTGTTTCGAGCTATTGTTGTGGTTTTTTATTATCTTGTCTTATTTTGCCATTCAAAACTTTGCCAGAGGCCAAAAAAAAATTTGGCCGATTGTCTCTTAGTATTTTTTGCATAATCATCCATACATATCAATGATCGAAAAATCAATAATACATTTTGAAAGAAGTAGAAGAGGGAATAAAATATTGAGATCCACAATAATGAATATTATGAAGGCCTTTGATGAAATCTCCTTTGTTTGGATGGAGATTTTTATTGAATGATTCATAAAATTAAAAAAATCTTGTCCAATCCTTGACGTTGAAACCATTTCTCAAAGCAATTTAATTTTGAAATAAAAAATTGAAAATTAATTTAAAAAAAATTCCAAAATTGTTTTCAAGCTGTAAACATGAATGACCTATTGCAATTTTGAAGAGTTAAGAAAGTGAAAAGTGAACCCTAGACTACCAACAAAAATTTATAAAAAATTATTTAACTGTGTAATTAAAAAGAGATTAATAAAACTATGGCTGCCACCCTGCAACATTGTGCCACGGCCACCACAACCCCTTCACCGCTAAAATCTGTGGCCACAACCTCACCTAATCCTCAACTGAAACGTTTGGTCTATTCGAAATATCGTGAACTACTTGGCTCCTATAATGATCAGGCAAATGCCTATATTGATACGCTACCCTCATATATGGTGCAAAAAGATAAGGGTTTCAATTTGGAACCCAATAAAACAACATCGACAATCACCACAAATGGTACTACCACAACCATACATTTGGCTGCTGCTGCATCACCATCATCATCCATCTCCTCCTCGACATCGTCATCCGGGGGAGATCATGAAATGTAAGTGCGCAAAATTATTGTTGAACGTAGAAAAAAAATCCCAAAATCATTTTGACCATAAAAATTTAATGGGGTTAGTATTTGTTTTTCCCCCGTACGAATATAATTATAATGAAAGCAATTTTTATTTGTTTTTGTAGAGAAATATTTCTTAAGAAAATACCATTATTTTTTAACAATAACAACAATGGCAGCAAGAAAAATATGTGATATTATTTAATGATCTCAAACAAATGTTAAAGCAAAAAAACAAGATAACAACTGGGAGATAAATATTATTTTTTGAAGATAGATTTTTTGTAGCTACAAAAAATATATACGCAATAAAAATATACAGAGTCAAGGTCATGGGCGTAGAAAAAAATCCCTAAAAGTTAAACAATTTTTTCCTCAGCGTACTGAGGAATTGTTTCCTATAGGAAAAAGAGTCCTCAGTGGTACTGAGGAATTTTTTCCTATAGGAAAAAGAGTCCTCTGTGGTACTGAGGAATTTTTTCCTATAGGAAAAAGAGTCCTCTGTGGTACTGAGGAATTTTTTCCTATAGGAAAAAGTGTCCTCAGTGGTACTGAGGAATTTTTTCCTATAGGAAAAAGAGTCCTCAGTGGTACTGAGGAATTTTTTCCTATAGGAAAAAGAGTCCTCAGTGGTACTGAGGAATTTTTTCCTATAGGAAAAAGAGTCCTCAGTGGTACTGAGGAATTTTTTCCTATAGGAAAAAGAGTCCTCAGTGGTACTGAGGAATTTTTTCCTATAGGAAAAAGAGTCCTCAGTGGTACTGAGGAATTTTTTCCTATAGGAAAAAGAGTCCTCAGTGGTACTGAGGAATTTTTTCCTATAGGAAAAAGAGTCCTCAGTGGTACTGAGGAATTTTTTCCTATAGGAAAAAGAGTCCTCAGTGGTACTGAGGAATTTTTTCCTATAGGAAAAAGAGTCCTCAGTGGTACTGAGGAATTTTTTCCTATAGGAAAAAGAGTCCTCAGTGGTACTGAGGAATTTTTTCCTATAGGAAAAAGAGTCCTCAGTGGTACTGAGGAATTTTTTCCTATAGGAAAAAGAGTCCTCAGTGGTACTGAGGAATTTTTTCCTATAGGAAAAAGAGTCCTCAGTGGTACTGAGGAATTTTTTCCTATAGGAAAAAGAGTCCTCAGTGGTACTGAGGAATTTTTTCCTATAGGAAAAAGAGTCCTCAGTGGTACTGAGGAATTTTTTCCTATAGGAAAATGAGTCCTCAGTGGTACTGAGGAAGTTTTTCCTATAGGAAAATGAGTCCTCAGTGGTACTGAGGAATTTTTTCCTATAGGAAAATGAGTCCTCAGTGGTACTGAGGAATTTTTTCCTATAGGAAAATGAGTCCTCAGTGGTACTGAGGAATTTTTTCCTATAGGAAAATGAGTCCTCAGTGGTACTGAGGAATTTTTTCCTATAGGAAAAAGAGTCCTCAGTGGTTTTTTCCTATAGGAAAAAGAGTCCTCAGTGGTACTGAGGAATTTTTTCCTATAGGAAAAAGAGTCCTCAGTGTACTGAGGAATTTTTTCCTATAGGAAAAATAGTCTTCAGCGTACTGAGGAATTTTTTCCTATAGGAAAAATAGTCCTCAGCGTACTGAGGATTTTTTTCCTATAGGAAAAATAGTCCTCAGCGTACTGAGGAATTTTTTTTAATAAATTTCTCCATTATAACTAATTTTCAGTGAAATTCCCTATTATTGGAGCTTTCATTATTTAATTTACATATAAAGTGATAAATAGTTTTATTTAACTGTTTATAATAAAAAATTATATAAAAAACAAAACATGTATTGTCTCCCCATTTTTTATATAAACTAAAATTTTATATTTTCTGAATACTGGATTTCAATATTGATTTATGTAAAATGTAGATTAGTAGTCGTTGTTTTTTCTATTCATCAAACGTTTCACAATGGAAACCAACAAAATACAAACGACTTAAATCGAATGAAATGTCAACAAAGGCGGCAACAAATACAAAAAAATTTTATAGCTCCCTCTAAGCGAAAAATAAAATAATTTATTATTGTTTGCAAGCTATGCAATTAATTGTTAAATGGATTAGGTGCTACCAGTTTGGCACCTAAGTATTTTTTTTTAATTTATTGGGAAATCATAAATTGTGGCAGAAACTGATATTGGAAATTCAATTCAAGTATTTCGAGTCCATTAAATTGAAAAGAAAATTTTTAGCTGAATACTTTTTTAGAATAAAAATTGAGAGCGATTGGACCTTAGCTGACCTAGCTAGGACAGTATCCTCTTGTGCACGAAAAAAAATGTGTAGACGAGGTGGTGGTGTGATGTCGATGGTAAAGTTGTTCGCACCAGATTAAGTCCAAGAAAAGAACCACAAAAAGAAGTAAGAAGTAGAACTACTTTACACCGCCAACATCATATGGAGGTGTTATTTATATATGGTGGACATTGTCGTCTGGTGGCGGACAACACCTCAACCTCAGCCACCATCATCAGTCACACCGTAGGAATGCAGCAGAAAAAAAATCATTCCTTTCAGGAAGGAGAACATATTGCTCATAAGCAAGCTGCTGCCGTTGCAGAATGAATGACAGACAATCGAAACTAATGGCAGAGTGAATGAATGCAAGCATATGTGTCTCAGTGAATGAATTACCGACTGAGTGACTGATTGACTGACTGTTACAAATGTTCCATTACTAATAATGGACAGAAATGGAAAGTCAAAAGAGGGGCCGATATTGGGTGGAGAGAACACAATTCCGAAATTGGCCATAAATAATGGCATTATTAGAACCTTAATATTTTTTGAAGTGCTGGGAAAAAATTAATTAATTTTGGGGTTTAAAAAATTAAAAAAAGAAAAAAAACAAAATTAAAAAGAAAATACAAATTGAGGATGACAACCTTCGAAGTTCTCCTATCTTGAAGAAGTCATCAAAAATTATTAATTTTGGGGTTAACAAAATTATTAAAATTAAAAAAAAATAATAAAAATTCTGAATTCAGAAAACAACTATTCAAGTTTCAAACATTTATCTCCCAACTTCATGCCTCCATTGTATCCTTATCTAAACTACAAACAGATATGAAGAAGAGGCACAAAATATTCCGATCTCAACCACTACTACTGCGCTATAATTTCGAGACACATTCCATATGAATTTTATCTATTTTTTCCACAGCTGTTTATTTATTTTTTCGTTTTGTTTATAAATAATTTTAAAAGAATGCATTTTCACCTGTTCACCTGTCATGATGATATAAAGCAAACCAGAAACTGAAAAATATATAACAACAGATAAAAAAGGGGGTCCTTTTGTTGCGAAAAACAAATTTTATGGTATTTTGAATAATCCAAGAATTTTTCTATAGATTTTTTTTTCTATAGAAAAAAGAGTCCTCAGTGGTACTGAGGAATTTTTTTCTATGTAGAAACCAGTGAGCGTAGCAATATAGTCGGACGGGACCGACCATATGATAACCTACACAACTTCTACGAAAATCTAACTTTCTGTGGTTCTATATTCTGAGCATGGACAATGTTTCGCGATATTTGCTCCCTCTTGACCGACTATAGGTCAACAGATATTACTAATATTGAATACATCCCTTTTAATTACTTGTCAAGCTTCCCTTCTGTTGTTTGGCTTTCAATTGTGGACTATAGATCGACTTGAAAACACACAAAAAATAAGTTTTCGGTCCACTTAATCCCAAAATTATTATCTGATCATCATCGAAAATTATAGGCGTTGTCGTTGACCATAACGGGAATCTCATGGAAAATTACAAAGCGATCAGCGCTACATTTCCGCCCTATAGTGTGGTAATGGGTTACTAAATAATATCTGAATACATAGGCACCTGTAAATATTTAAGCGTAACTCCCACATCCGAGTACATACGACAATATAATTGGTATCAATTTAAAGGTCAACCACACCTATTCGATACACTATCAACTTCTCGGTTCTATATCCTTCAGGAGTAAATATATACGCCATACAATACAAATTTTGTAATTTATCACACAAAAGTCAGGGTCCATTCAAACCGATAAATATTGACCGATTTTTATCAAAACAGGCATACTTATTCTTTGACCCAATCCCCTTCCCCATGCGGTGTTTGGGCCATAATTGCGGCCTCTGGAGCGATCAGAAAAACCGACAAAAATAAAGTTTGTGGTCCATTTCATGCCCTAAATATTACCCGATCTTTTCCAAAAACAATAGGGATCTTCGCTGGCCAGAACCCATTCGACATGCAAAATTTCGTGAAGATTGGTCGATAACTGTGGCCTGTATCGTGTTTCCAAATTATAATGGACAGACGGATGTCATATCTCGACTAGCTGAGTCGGTATACTTAAGGGTGGGTCTAGGACCAATATTTCGCGGCGTTACAAACTCTTGGGACTGCACAAAGCTATAATACCCCGACAACATAGTTGTGTAGGGTATAACAAGAATCCTCAGTATAGAAAAAAGAGTCCTCAGTGGTACTAAGAAATTTTTTTCTATATAGAAAAAGAGAAAAAAAGTCCTCAGTGGTACTGAGGAAATTTTTCTATAGAAAAAAGAGTCCTCAGAGAAATGAGGAATTTTTTCTACAGAAAAAAGAGTCTACAGAAAACTGAGGAATTTTTTCTATAGAAAAAAAGAGTTCTCAGTGGTACTGAGGAATTTTTTTCTATAGAAATGAGTCCTCAGTGGTACTGATGAATTTTTTCCTATAGAAAAAAGAGTCCTCAGTGGTACTGAGGACTCTTTTTTCTATAGAAATGAGTCCTCAGTGGTGCTGATGATTTTTTTCCTATAGAAAAAAGAGTCCTCAGTGGTACTGACGATTTTTTTCCTATAGAAAAAAGAGACCTCAGTGGTACTGAGGAATTTTTTCTTTATAGAATAAAGAGTCCTCAGTGGTACTGAGGAAGTTTTTCTATAGAAAAAAGAGTCCTCAGTGGTACTGAGCAATTTTTTCTATAGAAAAAAAGAGTCCTCAGTGGT